TGCCTATGCATTCATGTTGTGTTCAAACCAAATGCCTATGCATTCATGTTGTGTACAAACCAAAGGCCTAGGCATTCATGTTGTGTTCAAACCAAATGCCCAGGCATTCATGTTGTGTTAAAACCAAATGCCCAGGCATTCACATTGTGTTAAAACCAAATGCCTAGGCATTTATGTTGTGTTAAAACCAAATGCCTAGGCATTTATGTTGTGTTAAAACCAAATGCCTAGGCATTCACATTGTGTTAAAACCAAATGCCTAGGCATTCATGTTGTATTCAAACCAAATGCATAGGCATTCATGTTGCATTTGAATCAATGCCTAGGCATTCATGTTGTATTTGAATCAATGCCTAGGCATTCATGTTGCATTTGAATCAATGCCTAGGCATTCATGTTGCATTTGAATCAATGCCTAGGCATTCATGTTGCATTTGAATCAATGTCTAGGCATTCATGTTGCATTTGAATCAATGCCTAGGCCGTTCACAGACATTTTGCTCACACAATCAAATTCAAACAAATTGTAATAGGAGTTATCATGTGTTTGTTTTTCTGTCAATTTCTGTCATCTTAGTCAAACATATTTTCTGCACAATGTTATTAATTTGTCTTCTTCTTTCTAGTTGAAATAAATCATTGGTTTGTTGTTATTTTTTTACAGGTGCACCATATAATAGTGCAGCTGATATTTTCGTTGACATTTGCCTTGTCATGTACAATGTTTGAACTCATTATATTTGAGATTCTAGGAATTCTCAATACAAAGTAAGTGATCTTTTCTCTTTCCAAAAAGTCATACGGTGGCCGTCAAAATGCCGTGCATGGCTGTAAACAACATGCTTGCAAATGAACTGTTTCTGTGTAACATAGACAAGTGTTAGCAGAACCATTGAAAGAGACAACTCTGTTTAGTTCTGTAGTTGCATAGAATAAAGGAAATCACAGATTCAATAAATACTGATTCTGTAGATGGCATACATTTGAGTATGGTACTTTTTACACATACATTGCATGTTTTATTGCAATTGAATTTAAATTATTAAGCATGACATGTAGCGGTCATTGCATGTGATATTGAAACATTGGTCACATCTGTTACTTGACATTAACAAAGCTTGTACAGTTCATGTTTATCCTCTGACATACATAATAGGTAGAACACAGTTCAGTTAGAATTGTGCTCATATCACTACATACTATTTCAGGAGATTATATTTGTCTCAAACATTGCTTAGAAAGTTATGTCAAAAATGGTAAATAGCGCCATGGAACATTTCTAATTTTTGGTGTAAAACAGTAAATTTAAAAGAAAGTACTTGTGCTCTAAAATAATTGAATAAAATTGGGATATTCGATGAACATCTGAATCTCTGTTATTATATACATACACAGTATTGTGTTTTTGATACTGTATAATCACATAGCAAAAAGTCTAGTAAGAAAACTAAGATTACAATATAACACTGATTTGATTGTGTTATGAAAATTACTTTGTGTAATTTTGTGAGCTTTAGTGTGAGAAAATTGGCTGCCACATAGAAAGTACTGCAAGCTGATATACAGTAAACACTGTGTGTAATTTATCCACATCATGTGGCAAGCAATATATACAGTCTGTTTTTTATTAATACCTTAGTTAATATAAACTTGCATACATCATGTGACCCTTTTACTGTGAGATGAACTAACATTGTGTTTAAAGGATTACCTTCAGCTGGGACAGTCAGGGGTCCATCTCACTAACTCAGCTGGGACAGTCAGGGACCGTCTTACACACTCAGCGGGGTTAGTCAGGAACCATCTCACTATCTCAGCGGGGTCAGTCAGGGCCCATCTCACACACTCATCTGCCACAGTCAGGGACCATCTCACACACTCAGCTGGGACAGTCAGGGACCATCTCACTAACTCGGCTGGGACAGTCAGGGACCATCTCACACACTCAGCTGGGACAGTCAGGGACCATCTCACACACTCAGCTGGAACAGTCAGGGACCATCTCACACACTCAGCTGGGACAGTCAGGGACCATCTCACACACTCACCTGGGACAGTCAGGGACCATCTCACACACTCACCTGGGACAGTCAGGGACCATCTCACACACTCAGCTGGGACAGTCAGGGACCATCTCACACACTCAGCTGGGACAGTTAGGGACCATCTCACACACTCAGCTGAGACTGTCAGGGACCATCTCACACACTCAGCTGGGACTGTCAGGGACCATCTCACACACTCAGCTGGGACTGTCAGGGACCATCTCACACACTCAGCTGGGACAGTCAGGGACCATCTCACTAACTCAGCTGGGACAGTCAGGGTCCATCTCACTCACTCCGCTGACATAATTAGGGGCCTTCTCACTAAATCAGCTGACATAATCAGAGACCATCTTACACACTCAGCTGGGACAGTCAGGGGTCATCTCAAACACTCAGCTGGGACAGTCTGGGACCATCTCACTAACTCAGCTGGGAGAGTCAGAGGGGGCCATCTCACACACTCAGCTGGGACTGTCAGGGACCATCTCACAAACTCAGCTGGGACTGTCAGGGACCATCTCACTAACTCAGCTGGGACAGTCGAGGCCCATCTCACACACTCAGCTGGGACAGTCGAGGCCCATCTCACACACTCATCTGCGACAGTCAGGGACCATCTCACACACTCAGCTGGGACAGTCAGGGACCACCTCACTAACTCAGCTGGTACAGTCAGGGACCATCTCACGCACTCAGCTGGGACAGTCAGGGACCATCTCGCACACTCAGCTGAGACTGTCAGGGACCATCTCACACACTCAGCTGGGACAGTTAGGGACCATCTCACACACTCAACTGAGACTGTCAGAGGACCATCTCACACACTCAGCTGGGACAGTTAGGGACCATCTCACTAACTCAGCTGGGACAGTCAGGGACCATCTCACTAACTCAGCTGGTACAGTCAGGGACCATCTCACGCACTCAGCTGGGACAGTCAGGGACCATCTCGCACACTCAGCTGAGACTGTCAGGGACCATCTCACACACTCATGATGAA